ACAAGCATTTATTGTCTGCTTAGCAAGATGTGGTGCTACCTGGACCTTGGCCGGAAACTGCTCTTAGACCCAGAATCAGTAGTACTGGTGCTGGGATGGCCTGTGGTTGGGGCAGCGCTGGCCGGTCCACCAGGGTTTCAAATGCGTGCGTTCCCACCTGATGTACACGTCAAGGACGACCTCTCCTCTTTGTAGCAGTGTCCATACTGATTGCTCACCGGCTATGTGGTGTCCTGGGAGTGCCGGTCAATTCCAGTCCTGAGGAGGTTCCTTCCTTTTGAAGGTTCTGCTCACTTATGCTCCACCTCTGGGTACTAGCCTCCAACAAAGGCTCTTACCGAATGGGTCAGGCCAGGGGGCCGTGCTGGTCTTACATGACTCCGCCTCCTTGGTGACAGTTGACTGGATAGGCACACGATCCAAGCGTGGCTCATCCATAGGCAGATGAACTGGACCAACCAGACTCTCAAGATTTGGACACAGAGATGGTAGTCCGAGAGGGGTGGGTACAGGAAAGAGAAAGTGGAGCAGGGTGGGTCCTGGGATGGATTTTCAGATGAGAAAACAGAGAATGCTAGGAGGCCAAGGGAAGCAAGAGAACTGAGCAGACATACAGAGAGAAACACAGGAAAGTCCGTATGGAGAGAGGATGCAAGAGAAAGCAAGAGTGAGCTGGCTGTCTCCAGCCCTTTCCCATATGGGCGCTGAGTTTAGTTTCCGTGAAATGGCCCTGTATTCTCTCCATCACCCCCCACACTTTTGAGCAAGTCTGAATAGGTTTCTAGTCCTTGCAAAGGTCTTTGACTAAAATACCTTCAAGGCTGGACTACATGGGAGAATTTAATATCTAACACTTGGACCCAAGTCAGTTATTGCTCCAAGTTAAATTACTATATTTCACAAGAGTGTTTGGCTGTATTTTGTAAGCAAGGTCCAAACTATTTTCTGGTGTGTGGTAGAAGGAACAGATTAAGTTTAAAATACGTTTTCAAACTTTAGAAATAATATGTTATTGTATTCATTAAACATTGAGTGCCTGAGTAGAAAAAGGTGCCTTGTGTAGAAAAAAGAAGCTTACTTACCTACAATCAATGTTTAAATTTTTGATCCATTTCTCTAATTTCTGCCCGTTAGCGAAGTATTTCTTTTAGTTAGCTATTTAAATTCCTGTCTTCCTCCATCCGTATTCTGATTTCTTTTAAGTCACAAATCTAACAATTTCCTATCCATTCTTCCATCAAGATTACTCAGAAACTACATGCCCTTCTACTGAATTCTTAAATTAGCAAAGGCACATAACCTCCAGGACCAGAGAACTGGTTCTTAACATAATCCACCCTCTCTCAGTCGGCCCAGGATGCCACAACAAAGTACCACAGACTGGGTGGCTTTTAAACAACAGAAATTTATTTCTCACACTTTTGGAGGCTGGACGTCCAAGATCAGGGTGCAAACAGGAACGGGGTCTAGAAAGAACCCTTTCAGAGCTGCAAGACTGTTGACTTCCAACTGTATCCTCATGTGGCAGAAAAGGAGGGCAAGAGGGCTCTCTGGGATCCCTTTTACAAGGGCACTAACCCCATTCATGAGGACTCCACCCTCACGACTTAACTACCCCCTCCTCAAGGCCCCATCTCCTAATACCATCATGTTGGGGTTAGGATTTCAACATATGAATGGGGCTGGGACACAACATTAAGTCCATAGCACACCCTGAAAGAGAGAACTTCCAGCTATATAGGCAACCACAGCCATCTCAGATCCTAGGTACCAGGGCACACGGTAGACTTTCAGGCTCCTGCACATGGGGTTGCCTCCCCTAATGCTGAGCATAGGATCTGCTGCCTCATAATGACAAGCTGTCAGGGCCTCCCTCCCTGCTCGTTTGGATCCACGGCACCGAGAGAGGAATGCACCCCTGCAGCCTTGAACAGCAGATGAGGAGAACACCATTTCCTTGATGGCCCTCTCTGGAAAAAGTCAAGATGCATTTCTTTCCAGGAATGCAGAAAACTCACATCAAAACAAGTTCTGAAAAATGTTTATTATGCCACAAACACATCGTCCTTTATATACTTTAACTGACGTCCTTTACATATCCAATCATCTTTTTTCTTCACGAGAATGTAGGGCGTCCCTCATCTGACCCTGGTCTACTGTTTAAACTTCCTAGCACAGTTCAAGAAACGTGTCACAGACAAGCGTGCAGGCAGCGTGGTGAAATGGAAAGCAAGTTGAATCGTGAATCAGCAGGCTTGAGCCGGAATCCTCGAGCAGGTTGCTCCATTTTTCTGGACTCCTGATTCCTTCTCCGGGACTGCCAACGTCCTTTGTGGCTTCTTCAACCGTCTGGAGGGTCATGAGGAACGTAGAGCCTCTGGGCTCTCATGGAACTCTATTTTCACTTCCATGAGGCACTTCTGCCCATCTGCTTTTGCTCAGAGTCAGCTGTCCAGGCATCTATCCCCTCCACGAGGTCAGGAGACTCTTCAGAGAAGGGACCACATATTTATCAGTCACAGAAAAATCTAACAATGGCAGCTGTCTCCCCAGTGCTGGAAAAAACATGAACAGATTGATTTCTTTTCAACTTAAGGTTTTCCTCCCATATACTTTTCTTAAACCTATGGTGTCTAGTTTACGAGGGTGTCTGATTTACACACTGTATTTTTAGTCGTCTCAGTTGACTAATTCAATACTTCCTGGGGTTCTGCAAAGACCGCAATGATTTGTTTCCCCATCCTATTAGCAAGCTGGAGCCACACCACTGCAAACTGCAGGCTCTTTCTCTGTAAGCCACTGGAACATCCAAAGCTCGGACACTGTCTTTGAAGCATCTATTTTAATTACACTAAGGTCTTGAAACTTCATTTTCACATACAGGATTTCCAGGCATTTACCAAGTAGACAAAGTACTGGGTTGATATCATTGCACTGATGAAATATTAATATTATTGATAAGGCGGGACAATGTGGCTGACTTTATCAGACTCATACCATTTGCATGAAAAGGCTGAGTTTCTTTGGCTCTTTGTTCATTCAAGTGCATTGAATACCTATTTGGATAGACTTAGGCATTGTGTTAATCTGTCAATAAAATCTTGCACCATCCACAGTGTTTTGCAAGCTGATTTAGGTTTTGGACTACAACAACTGGCCATTGGTAGAAATATACCATATATACACATGGAAATTACAAAAATACATTTTATTTATAGCTGATTTTTTTTTTAAGTAACAAAAAACTAACACTATGAAAGATCAACCAGCATACCAAAAGGACACTACCTAATATCATCTGAACAAGAGACTTGACTGGGGGGATTCCATGACACATCTTCTCCGGAACTTTCCAGAAAGGGCAATTTGCCATTGGGAAATAAAAACAGCTTCTTTGAAAAGTCTGTGCTTTGACAGTTTGAATCTCCCATTCTAATCAGTTCCACTCCTATTCTTCTCTCAACTTTTAAATTTCCACTTTCTCTCAGTAAAGACCAAAGAAACTCATGAGGAAAATGGCAAGATGGGCTCAGAAGGCATGGACACAGCTGAAGCTAGATGGGTCATGGGTGAAGGCAGGACAGGACCTTGTTCTCCAACAGACACCAAGGAAGCCCCCAACAGAGCTGGTGAGGGAGCCGGAGTGTTCCCTCCCCGGGGCCACCTGAAGTCGGTGGCTGTTTTGCTCAGACATTGACAGTCAGCAGCTGGTGCCTCTGGGCTGCAAGGCAGTGTCCACCCAGAGCTCTGGAGACCGACTCGCCGCTCAGGGAGTGCGATTTGCCACATGGCGGTCCTAAAGTCAGCCAATGTCCTCCTGCATCCATTGACTATGGGGGCGGGGAGGGAGGGAACTGGCAAACTCCATACACTTTTAAAAATGGTATTTACATTTAAACGTAAATCAACAGATTTCTACATTCAGAAGCTTCTATAAACAGAGGCTGCAGCCGGGGGGGGGGGGGGGGGGGGGGGGGGGGGGGGGGGGGGGGGGGGGGGGGGGGAGACTATTTCTGCTCGGAACAGGCATCAGTTACTCCTTCCTTCTATGTCACTCAGCAGCGCCTGCCAGACGTCGCTGTTGAAGAGACAGAGGTTTTCCTGTAAACGCTGATGTTTCTAGTATCTCAAAGAAGAGAGAAGCTTTGTTCTCAGGCCACCTTCATTGCCGGGCAAAGAAAAAACCTCCAACATATGACTGTTTTTCTTCTGTAGGATCCTAAAAGCTCTTAGCACCGATTCCCTTTCAGTTAGATACGACCTTGCAGGGTACTCTAGTTCCAAAACGACATGTTTTCAAAAAACCTGTCAACCCAAACCCACCATTCCCCCCCAACCTCCTCTCTTCCTTGGCCTTTGTTTAATGAACGGGAGGAAAAAAAAGAGCCAGGATTATTTATAGGTGTAGTCATGGACAGTACTGATTTTTATCCAATTCATCTATCTGACTTTGAACCTGAACCTTTAAAAGAAAAGGATTCGAGTTTCTTGGCTGGAGTCAGTGCCTCCTTCACAGACCGAAGGCGACTATAATGGTTACAGTCACGGCTGAACGAGAGAGGGTGCAGTCTGGTGCTTAGATGCCTGCATCGCCTTTAACGCAGAAACAGAGTTAACATGCACAACTCACCGAAGACAGAGCTACGTTCTCCCCCTTCTGGTGACTTAGTAAAATGTGGCATTGATCAGGGATCGGCAGATCAGTTAGTGTCTCTTGCGACTAAGGCTCCATAGGGAAATACACCCACAGTTCAAACATTTAACTTCACAGAATATCAAACATAAGGTCCCACGCGGGGACTTCTTGACATACAGTCAGCTGAAGAAGCCAAGAATCCAGCTGGCCAAGAATCTCCTCTGTTGCCCAGAAGCCCCACTGTTCACCTGTTCAGAGGGTGAGAAAGACTCCCACGTGGTCTGTGCCTCAAGTCCCAGGAGGTCAGGTTGAGACACCGGAAGACTGTTCCCTCGGAGTCTGGAAGTTCCACGGGGCTGAGGTATTAGACCTGGAACTCAAACATGTCTGTCTGTTTCTTGGCCAGCTTGGCCACCTCCTCCCGGATGGCCTTCACGAGGGCCGCGGTGGAGATGTTGGTCAGGGGCGCATCAGACGGGTCGTTCTCGGCCAGGCTCTGCTGCGAGGCCGCCGCGGACGGCCCCGGGGCCTGCTCCAGGCTGGGGTGCATACCTGTGGGCTGGCTGTACTGGCGAGGGAGTCTGGAGGGAGAGTTCTGCTGGTAACGCGACCGGGGGTAAGCCTCGATGTACCCTGGGAGGGGGACCTGCAGAGGGTGTTGGAGAGAAGGGAAGGGCCCGGGATTAGGAAGGGGCTCGAGTCATGGGACATGCTTGATACTGGATGCGGGGGTGGGGGTGGGGATTGAAGACAAGGGAAGAGGTTCAGAAGAAAATGGAGACCAGGTACCATTGTACACATATAAAACCCGGAGTCTGTTTGTTTAGAAAGCAGGTCATTTGGACTCACTGGATATGCTGGGTGGATGAATGAAGTAGGGGTTTTGAACCTTGCTACAAACAGAGTCTACACCTGAATCTACCCGGCTACCTTTTTAACATAAGCACAGTCCAGCAAACAGAAGTATTGTTCTTCACAGACCTTGAAGGACTCAGGGACTCATTACCAACAGGTAACTGCCAACACGGAAGGAGCCCTGCGCTCAGGGCTTCCCACACATTATCTCATTTGATTCTCAAAGCAACAACCCAGGAGGCAGATATGGTCATCCTTATTTTACAGAAGAGGACACTGAAGCAAAGAGTGCCACAGTCTTAAGTGACATGGTTAACGGGCCACTGAGACACACTTGGAGCAAGTCTGTCTGACGCCAAGGGCTGGGAGTTAGTCACTGCACTGTCTCAGATCTGGGATGTGATCTGAGTTCCTTGGAAATTTTTTCTTTTTATCAAATGTGGAAGACACATACTTAGATGCTTACATATATGGACACTTCTAGTAATAAGGACACGTCACTGATTTGGAATTCAGGATTAACTTTCCCACAGAAACAGTGCCACATGTGGGGATGCTGTTCCAGAGCAACCCACAAGAGGCCTTTATATCCCATAATGTTAGCTGGATCCCTATGGGATGCGTGCCTGTGGACAACAAAGGCACAGGGTGCTGTGGGGAAGGGACACGTGTGGGGAGTCAGGGGGCTTTCAGGGAGACGCAGCTTAGCTGGGTCTGGAAGATGAATAGGCTGTTGCCAGGAAGGCAAGTTGGGAGGGGTGTTCCAGCAGAGGAAAAGCAAAGGCAGAGGCAGGGGGTACGTGGAGGATGGTGCGCCCAGGAATCTTCGAAGACTTCGGTCTGACCAGAGAGGATGTACAGGGTGCGGGAGAAGCTCAGGGAAGACAGACAGGCAGGGCCGGGTCAGAAGGCCACCGAATGCCAGGCTGCAGAGTTCAGTTTTCTATGGCACACTTCTCAGAAATACGGTTCCCATTCTTTACAGAGACACTTGTCTGGGCCCTGGTGAGGATGGGGTAGGATGGGGTAGGATGGGGTTGGGTGATGAGTCAGAAATTTTGGACGGGCGGATGTACAGCAGGAACGCAGCCTCCCTCCACTCCCTGCCTGAGACGTTCTGACAACCCCTCCCGAGGACGCAGCATTCTGAGATGCATGCCTGACACCTGGCCTGGGAGACACCAGCAGGCGTCAGGTGGAGGAGGGGCCTGTATTTTAGAAAGGACACTCTGGAGGTAGACTACTGGAGGTCGAGAGAGTTCTGAGGCTATGTCAATGGGCTAGGTGAGGGCCTGTGAGGACCCGAGTGAGGGAAGAAATAATAGGATGGATGTTCCAAAAGCTGGGGCTTTAATTTCCCAAGGCCTGGCAAAGAAAGACAAAGTGGCAAATAGGTGTTAATAGTGGGTCTTTCTACACAAGGGCTGTACATATTTCCCTTGCATCTTAGAGGAAAACCAGAGTCGAACTGTCTGTGTCCTTGGTCCACAAGCACGGGGAATGCACAAGTGATTGTGGGGAAACAGAGCCAAGACCCAGACAGGGGACCGACCCATCAGGTCTCAGCTCAAACGTCCTTTCTTCCAGGACACGCTCCCCTGCCCTACATTAGCCAAGGGCTCCCTATAAGATGCTTCCAGTAGTTTCTCTAGAGTCAGTCATCGCCCATGACGTCATCACCTGTCTCAGGCCGTCAACTTCCTAAAGGCAGAACGGTGTCTTGCTTGCATATCACTGTGCACCAGTACCCAGAATTATGCATGGTACACAGTAGGGAGTCTCTCAGAACTTGGGGTTCTGAGGAACACAGTTTGAAAATCACTGAAGGATGACCAGATGGTGCCATACGTTTGTGAGGGAAGTGGTCATATCCCCTTTCCCTGCATTTCAATTCAGCTGGAGCTGAGAGTTAGCATCCAACTCTTGAGACCCCTCAGCTCTGTGGCATCAAGCGTCCAGGTGCCAGTGGCTGGCACAGGCAAGGGATCATGGAGTGGAGTCACTCCTCTAAGAAACTCTTTTTCCCCTAATAGTAGATCCAGGCTGGAGCCATCACATCTTGCTGGCCAAAATTCGGGGCTGGCAAACACCACTCCTTCCCCAGGCAGTGCCTAAGGCAGGCATCACCTAGTGATCACAACACACCCCTCCCAACCCTTCTCCATCCAGCACCAAGGATGAAACCCATTTGTCAAGGGGTGATTTTGAGGTGATTTTGTCTAAGCTAGCTCCTGATGTCTGGATACCTGGGATCAGGAAGGTCAGACCCCCAAATGATGGTGGGGGTTTTCTCCTTCTCACACGGATGTGGAAGTGGACGCCATCCCTGCCCCACTTTCTCAAGCTGACAACGGGTCCCTCTGAGGTTCCTGCACTTTCTTTCACGTGCGAGGAATCCCCTGTGCTCCCTGCTGTGGTTCCTGGCTACTGTGCTCCATGCATGGACCCGCCAGCCTGCTTAACTGTAGGTGGTAACTGGGCGCCAGGAAAGACCCATTTAGGCTGCAGCAAACATGTTCCTCTTAAAAACAACTAATAGAAAACTAACTCCCCCTCACACTGAGAGGGATGGACCCAGAATGGTCAAATCATCCTGTTAGGAAGGTTGGGTTTTGATTTGCTGGGTTCCTGTTCCTTCATCTTTAAGACAATATGAATCCAAAAGCATCTGGAAGTGGCCATAAGCCTGGCTAAGCTATCATCTGTGTCTTGAGGGCAAGGGCCAAAGTTTGGGAAAATACTTCCGTTGACTCCCGCAGAGTACCCAGTGGAACTTTCCATGCAGAGGGTGAACCGACAAAGCTGTAGGTTTACTGCCTAATTGTCACAAGTTAAGTATCATCTATTTTCTGAAAAGTACACATTATGTTTAGACTATAAGTGGAATTATGGAGTCAAGAAAGCTCTGAACTGATCAACTCATACCCAGTGATTTCAGCTGTTTAAAATAGCCGAGCATGACAAAGGAAGCAAAAAAATGCCCACAAACAACCAAAACAGATGCCGTAAAGTCTCACATTAAGATCTGTAGACTTAACAATAGGGAATCCCTACAGTTACTCTTAAAGCTTATTTACTCCAACTTGACAATTCTAAGGAACTCAGACATGCCTCATTTGCAGGTAAGTCCATTAGGAAAAGTATATTTAAGGGTGAGTATTATCTGTGGAAGTGGGGACACTGACAGCAATAGAAGGTCTGGCTGGGAGCAAGGTCAAAAAAAGAAAAACCATATTGAGCCTTGCAGTAACTCCAAAAATTACAGTAGTTGGGAGATGTGTGATATAGGGGTAATAATCCTACTACCATCAGAGTCCCTCTTACAAATGTCATTTTACTAGTAAGGCATAATGATGATGCTGAATCATTTGTTAGAGACAGATTAAATTATGTTCCTCTTTTAAAGAAGGAGGGAAGGATATAATTCATTCCAGAATTTTTTAATGCAAGATAGCATATATTTTAAGTGCTTTGCAAATTAAAAGGATAAGCTTTGATCATCAGGAAAATTAATATATATAGGATAAGCTTTATCCCATTAGTGGTGTTCAAATGTGTCATCATTATGATAAAAATAGACACCAACACCAAGGCTGAATTGAATCTGTGGAGGTAGAAAGTATGGACCCCAGGGGTTTGGACAGAGAGAAAAGATGACCCAGGCCTTGGGCATCAACATGTTTGCTAAATCTAGGATATATTTCAAATGTTGAGACCAAACCCTAAAATGACACACAGCACCAGGGAACCTTCAGGTTGAGCCTGGGAGACAGCCTGCCTTTCTTATCCGTGATGGATGGTCTCACAGATGGATGGGGGCAACCCACACTAGAGGCCATCATTGTGCTATTTTTGTTTGCTTGATTTTTTTTTTTACTTAGCAACCCTTGACAGGTGACTCAGAGGCAGGTTTGGGTGTGACTATCCAGGTTCAACTAGTTGCTGCCTCTCTGTGGTGTAGGCTAGGCCAGGCCCACTGTGCCATATATTCCTACTTACGATGGAGGATGGAACCAGGGGATCTTGACAAGATAGTCCTTTGCTGGAAGTCAAGTAGAATGCCTTAGGATCTACATGCAAAGTAATTCAATCTTCAATTTCTAAAACTATATTTTCTGGTATTTCATGTACAATAGCTGTGTGTCTTTAGGCAGTCAGGTCACGTGACTAGGTCTTAGTTTCCACATCATGGGAATCATAACACCTACCGGATAGGATTGTTGTGAAGATTAAATAAGATAATATATATAAAACATCTAACATGGTGTCTGGCACATAGAAAACAGTCTAAAAATGACAAAATAAAAAGTTATTTGATTAAGGTCACCCCACTAGGAAGAGGTTGAACCTGACTGGAAGGCAGATCTCAAGTCCCTCTGTCAAAAGACATCCCACCTGACCACACTGTCTCCTCTAAAATGGCTGAACTTAGCCACCTGGTTGGTGGGAAGCAGGCTGAGATAAAAAAAAAAACACTGTCTCAACCTTTCATCCATTTTCTCCCTCAAGTGTGTCCAGCAGGTAAGATTGTGAGGGAATCAGCAAGGGTCTCACCGAATCGGCCCACTGGCTTGGGAGCTCATTCTCTCCTGCATAGGACATCCAGGCCTGGTTCCTGTAGGACGAGGGAGGCGTTGGGATGAAGTAGCCAGTAAAGCCGGGTCTGTTGGCAGCTGGGATGGCAAACACTGCCGGCACCGTATTACCTGGCACGGAGGAGATGCATGGGGAAGATTAGACCAGCACCCTACCTCTTGGGTTGGCATTTGCCGAAGCTGGGGGAAGCTGGGAAATGGAGGAACTCTGGCATGGGGGGAGGGGGTAATGAGGTGTGGAGCAGATCTTCACCTGCAGCCCCAGCCCCACCTACCTGCACCGTCATCTGCTATGACGCAGACCTGGTTTTCTAGAGAAATGATGGCCCAACTCCCCTCGCCGATCCCCCATCCCCATCCCAACACCCCTGACCTACGGGCAAGAAGGGACACCTCAGTGTCCAGATTTTTTTTCTCCCATGGGGAAGAGGTATTTTTAAAAAGGCAAGAAAAGGAACCAAAAGGAATGGATTCCACTGATGCGATTTCTGGAGACAGTGAATGCTTTAGTAAGTGTTAGCAACTGGGTGTTTGCAGTTTTCGCCTAAAAGGTATGCTTTGAACAGACTCAAAAAACCAATTAGGGCATGGATAAACCTTGATGTTCATTTCAGCACTGTCTGTAATAGCAAAATATTGGAAACAACCCACATGTCCCTCCTTAGGGGAAAGGATAAACTGTGGCCTATCATATCTTTGAATACCATATGGCAGTTGAAACAAATGAACTAGATCTACATGTACCTACCCATCTTGAACACAAGGCTGAGTCAAGAAAACAAATGCGGAAGGAAAGGCATACTTTGATATCACTTGTGTACATGTAAAATACCAACAGCATTAATATACACTACTGCATATACATACATATGTAGCAAAAAAGTTAACACCCTCAATTTAAGGATTGGGATTACCTCTGGGAAGAAGGGGAATGAGATAGGGCTGGATAGTTCTATCTGTAATGCTTTAAAGATCAATATAAATTAAAAAGAAACCCTGAAGTCTGGCAAATGTTAACAGCTACCCTGACTGTAACACATATCTTCCTATTTTGTCACGTTTCAGATTTTTTAAAGAAATAGAGCAGTAGCTCTTATAGCCAGGGCTACTGAAGTCAGACGTAACAGCTGCCTCCATTGCTGAGGATGGCAGGTAGCAGGTGGCGAGTGGGAATGTGGGGGGTGGGCAGTGCAAAGAGCACACACAGCACCCGGGTGGGGCTGGGGTGCAGCGCCGGCCTTTCTCAGGCGTTTCTCCTCTTGCCCACCTGAGTAATTTAAAGCCGACTGATCCAACTGCGCCACGGACACGGGGCCTCGGGACACCTGCGCGAAGGAGGCGCTGTCGTGCAGCTGGGCGGGCTCGGGCCCCGCGGACTCGGCCATCCTGGTCTTGCTGCCCACGTCCGAGGTGGACCTGGGGGGCGCAGAGGGGCTGCGTTAGCCGCTCCCCACGCCCGCCGCCGCCGCACCGCCACCCAGAAGTTCCCGCCGCCTGTCACCTCGGGGGGTCGCCTCTGGGAGCCGCGTTGGCCTCCAAGCCCCACGAGGGTGGGGTCCTCGGGCCTGGATTTGCCCCCGACACACAAAGGAGGCCGGCGCGCCGAGACCTGGAGCGGCCGTCGTGGTGGCCCGAGCTGGAGTCATTTTTAGATATTCAAGGTCAGTGTTCCCCTGAGAGTGGCTCTTGTGTCTCTGGGGAGTAGCCCACTTAATTTCCGCATAAAAATAAGCCAGGCCATTAGCGCTGGGTATTAGCCGGGGATGGTCGGCCTGGGAGGGGATGACATCATCAGCAGCCAATGAGAAGGCTCCGTCTGAAGTGGCGCCCCCCCGCCCCCCCGTACCGGGGCTGGTGACCCGCGAGGGCCCGGAGGACCACGTTCCCTGCTGTCGCTGCTGCTGGCCGCAAGAAGCTCAAGACTCTCGGGAAGCTCGGGGGGCTCCAGGAAGCAGGAGCCTAGCACTTTCTAGGCGTTATGAATGACAGGCACTTGTTTTTTTGCGGGGGGACCCACAGGCAAGCCGAGAATCCAGCCCATTACACACATCCTATTTCCACTCAGTGCTCAGAAAGCCGGTAAGAAGAGGGCTGCCTGGGCGCCACGGCGGCCAGCCTCCCCCTCTAATAGAGGGTGCTTTAGCCAGTCTCTGTCCTCCCCCTCACAGAGGAACTTCAGGCTCTCCTAAAAATTAAAATGGAAGGAGGCAAAGGCAGCCACAGCAGGTGGCAGGCTGCCAGCCCATATGGCCACCCTCTGAGCAGCGGAGTGTCTGTCACTGTGAAGAACAGAACAGAGCCACAGCAAGAGGCAGAGGTCTGGGTTCTAGCTTCCTCCCCCTGCTGAGCCTCAGTTTCCCCGTCTGAGAAACAAAAGGGGTGGATGACCCCCTCTCCAAGGCTCCTCCCTGCTCTAGTCCTTTGAGTCTAAATGTGAAGCAGTGACCTGCTGATATCTGGCAAGATGGCAGACACTGTGCAAGGCATGGGAGGGGACGGATGGTTGAGAGAAGAAAGAAGAAACTGACACTGGCCCTTAGCAAATCAGCTACAAATGACTGCTGTGAAGCTCCTCGCATTAGAACTCTCAGGAGTAATTAAAGCCCCCCACTCTTGCTCAGAGGCCGTGATGATTTGACTCAACTTCAGGGTGGGTGCTGGAGGCTCGGTAGTGTGGGGTCTCCCTTCCCTTCTCGCTCCCTCCCCTCTTTCTCCCGGTTGCTCTCCCCCTTGTCCTTGGATTCCCACATACTATTCCAGGCATCTGCTCCTAGTTTAGGAAACCCTTCCCAGGAAAATTCCTGGGTTCTGCCCCATACACTCAGCCCCCTTGGATGAATCTCTGCGATCAGTTAGGCCCTTGCCCTCATTTGACAGATAAGGAAATGGGGGCCAGCGAGTTGAGGCAATTTGCCTAGGGTTACACAGCAGGTTAGGCTGGAACCCTGGTCTGCAGCTTCCCACCCCACCCTGAGCTCGACTGCAGTCAAGAGCTGGTGTCTACACACAGCTCAGTGTTCTAGACCGCTGGAAATGAAGGCAGGGTCATTTCTGGGGGGAACTCATTTTTCTTCACCATTTTCACAAAGGTCAGACCTGTGGTCCCAGGGAGAGTGTGGCTAGCATGTTGGGGGGGGATGCTGGGGTAGGAGGGCCAGGGCACTGGCCTATTCCTATTCCAGGGCACGGTTGTTTCTTTAATCCTGGACCTGATGCCTATTCCAGCATCTCCCAGTGCTCATGGATTTTGTATTTCTCGCCTACCTTTATTTAAAACACGGGCTTGTCATACCGTTACAGAACAAAGACAGTACCTTTATCACGTCTGACTTATAGCTTTCTGAGTTCATCTCTTTATACATATCTGAGTTCATGTGTTCTCAGCCTCCTGTCTTGGGAGTCAGGAGTTAGGGTGGGTGCCCAGACATGCCACTCCCTAGCTTCTTGGACGCTACCCCTAAACAACAAAGGGACTTCTGGGCCCACACGCAGGTGCCAGGAGCTGCCCAGACTGGAGGTGGCCGTTGTAGTGGACTGAGCTGGAATAATTTTCAGATGTTGAAGGTCAGGGTATGAGGCTTTCGGGGTATGGGTTGGTTGCCCTTGGGGTTCTTCAAGTCCTGTAGAACTTTCCATTTCAAATGATAAGAAAGTTGGTCAACCCTCTCTGTGCTCCCACTTCCTTCATGGCACTCGGGGCCCCCCAGACACATGGTTCTCGGTACCGGGGATGCACCCTGAATGGGGCAGGCATGAAGGAAAACCGTCGGGTCAGAGTACATGGGACCGAATCCTTTCCAGACACTCCAAACAAGCCAAGAAAGCAATGTGTTACCGCCTGAGAGAAGTAACAGCCACGGGGCCAGTCCGGGGAGGTACAGGTGGAGGGGGAGAGCCCATGACCATTTCAGGAAGCTGGGAAAACCTGTATGCCTGTGAAAGAGACAAGCAAGAGAGGAGGATGTGTTAAAACGCAGTGTCGATCAACACACAGGTTCTTCTTACTGAAAAGGTAAGTAGGGGGCGCCTGGGTGGCTCCGTTGGTTAAACGCCTGACTTTGGCTTGGGTCGTGATCTTGGGGTCCTGGGATCCAGCCCTGTGTCAGGCTCTGTGCTCAGTGGGGTGTCTGTTTGTCCCTCTGCCCCTCACCCCTTGCCCCCACACCCCCAACCTGTGCTCTCTCTCAAAAAAATAAAAAAATCTTAAAAAAAGGAAAGCAGGCTTCCAGGTCAGATTTTCCTTCCTTCTTCCAACTCTGCCCTTTGCTCTTCCTTCTGTCCTCCAGCCCCCTCTTCTATGTCATCTCTGCCATGCTCCCCTGTGCTTGGGCCACCTTAGTCACGGAGTCCTTCCGCTGATCTAGTGCTTTCCTGCCTCTGGCTTTGGTACATGCTACTGCTTCTCCCTGGGATGCTGTCTCCCAGTTCTTCCCGTGGTTCCTCCCTCCATCTCATTCAGCCAGCCCCCTGTTCCCCTAGAGCCCCAGTTAATCTATCTCCATATTCTGCTTTATTTTTTGCCATAGCAATTGTCACTCTCTGGTATTATATCATTGCTTATTTATTATCTGCCACCAGCTAGAGTGTAATGAGGGCAGGGGCTTTATTGTCAGCTGTATCCTCGTGCCTGCAAAGGTGAATCACTGATTGCATTTTACTTTCTCATTCAAAGAAAGCACACTTAATGGGGGAAAGCAAGGGGTTTAGAGTCAGGAAGTAAGGGTGGAGGTCCTAGTTTGCTGATAAATAGACTTTATGTCCCTAAGCAAGTTAGGTGGACTCTCTGGGCCTCGCTGTCCTCTTCTAAAATGGGAACAAGGATGCCTTGCACCAAGGGGGGCTAAGAGGATCAGGCAAGTCGGTGTAAGCATTTCACAATCTATAAAGCACCGTTCAAAGATAAAGGATTGGAACTATCACAAAAGTGAAGACTTTGATCAACACGTGAGGAGATAAAAGGAAAACAGTCAGAGATAGACAGGATCAGAGAGCCAGGCCACAGCCTCCTTTAGCAGGAGAAAATCTAGAAACGCTCTCTGGGAAGACAAAGCTTAACTTGTGCTTCTCATTCATCTTTTTCTTTAGGTATCATGCCTGCTAGATCTCTTGCGGAGCAAGCTGACAAGACTTTAAGCCTGAAGGCATCAGGACAAAAAGAGCAGC